TCTCATGAATATAGATGTAAAAATCCTTAACAAAATCCTAGTCAACAGAATCTAAAAGCACACTAAAAAAAAATTTACCAAGACCAAGTGGAATTTATAATAGGTATGCAAGATGGTTCAGCATAAGAAAAACAACATAATTCACTGTATCAACAAAATAAGTAACAAGAATCATATGATCTTAGCAATTGATGCAGAAAAGGCATTTGACAAAATACAGCACCCTTCCTGATTAAGACACTCAGCAAAATTGGAATAGAAGGGAATTTCCTCAACATAGTGAAAAGTGTATATGTAAAACCAAAAGCAAACATGATTCTTAATGGAGAAAGATTAAAAGCGTAGTCCTTGTGAACAGGGATCAGACAAGGATGCCCACTGTCACCACTTCTATTCAGTATTGTATTGGAAGTGCTTGCTAGGGTAATACAACAAGAAAAGGAAATAAAAGGCATCCTGATCTGCAAAGAGATGGTTACAACTGTCACTACATGCAGATGATATGATAATATACACTGAAAACCCCAAAGATTCAATGAAAAAACTGTTAAAAGAGTTGGTAGGCCAATTTAGTAGAGTGATAGGATACAAGATCAGTATCCAAAAATCAGTAGAATTCCTCTACAGTAACAAAGAGAACTCAGAGAAGGAAATCAAGAAAGCAATACCATTTAAAATAGTCAACCACAAATTGAGATATTTGGGAGTGAACCTAACTAGAGATACAAAAGATCTATGCAAAGAAAACGACAGAGCTTCTGCAAGACACAATAAGAGACCTAAAAACTGTCCTCTTCATGGATAGGAAGATTCAATGTCGAAAATTACAGTCCCACCAAAAGCAATCTACATGTTCAGTGCAATCCCGATACAGATAGTAAATTCATTTTTCAAAGAGATTGAAGGGGAAATTGTCAAATTTATTTGGAGAGGCAACAGACCTCGAATAGGCAAAACACTTCTGAGAAACAAAAATGAGGTGGGAGACATAGCACTCCCTGACTTCAAAACCTACTGTTGTTATGTGCCATCGAGTTGCCTGGGACTCATAGCTACCCTATGTACAACAGCCCTAAACTCTGTTCTATATGGTGCCAGTCTCACTGTCTTCGACACACCTGCTCCTATTACCCCAGTCACTGAATCAATCCATCTCATCGAGGGTCTTAACTCTTCTGCACTCTTGCTCCATCCTCTGAAGCATGATGTCCCTCTCCAAGTATTGGTCCCTTCTTGCAACATGTCCAGAATATGTCAAACAAAGCTTCAGGATCCTTGCTTCTGTGGAGCAGCTTGGTTTCACCCTTTCTAGGAGGAACCTGTTTATTCTCTTAGCAGTCCATGGTATATTCAGTACTCTTCTCTAACACCTCAGCTCAAAAGCATTACTTCTCCTTCTATCATTCCTAGTCATTGTCCAACTCTGATGCATAGCAAGTGATTGCAAGGACCATGACCTGTATCAGGCACACCTTAGTCTCCAGACTGACATCGTTGTTCTTCAATACTTTGGAGAGGTATCTGACAGCAGACTTTCCCAGTTCAATTAGTCTTTTAATTTCTTGGCTGGCTGCTGGTGCCAACAGTGTTGATAGTAGGACCAAGCAAATTAAAGCTGTTAACAGTCTTAGTCTCTTCCCCATTTAGCATGATGCTGCCAGTCAGCCTAGTGGTGAGAATCATTGTCTTCTTGATATTGAGCTTCTATCCTCATTGAAGTCTGCAGTCCTTAAATTTACAGAATATTCCTGGGCCTCCTAAAGAAAAAGACTGATAACACAATTACAAAATCATCAAAAGACATGGAAAGAATTTTCACAGAAGATATTTGAATGGCAAACAGACACATGAAGACATGCTCAAAATCACTGGTAATAAGAGATGCAAACCGAACCACAATGAGATTACCATCTCACTCCAGTAACAGTGGCAAGGTTTAACAGGGCAGCAAATAATAAATGTTGGAGAAGATATGGTGAGATAGGAACTCTTATACATTGTTGGTGAGATTGTAAAACGGTACAAGCAATCTGGAAGGCAGTTTGATTCTTCCTCAAAAAAGCTGAACCTAGAAATTCCTTATGACCCAGCTGTTCCACTGCTTGGGATATACCCTGAGAACATGAGAACTACGGTACAATCAGAGACTTGTACACTAATGTTCATAGCAACTTTATTCACCATAGAAACAGCTCATATGTCCAAACCCAAAGTAATGGATTGAGAAATTATGGTACATTCACAGAATGGAAAACTATGCAGCACGCAGGAACAATGACTTTGTAAATTATTGCCTAATTTGGAAGGGACTGGAGAACATTATGCTGAGTGAACTAACTCAGTCCTGTATGGACAAGTATTGCTTAAAACCAGTATTGCAGAATAAGTATGAGGATCCAAGCGGGGGGGGGGGGTGCAGATGAGGATGTGCAGGGGGAGAAGGGGATTAATTATGGGATTGTACAATTTGATGGGTGAGGATATGAGGGAAATTAGAAAAATATGGTCTGGAAAACAATGTATTTGAATGTTGTAAGTAAACTAATATAACAATAATTTTTAAAAAAGAACAAAAGCAAAAGTATACGTCACTGTGTAGAGATACTAACCAAAACCAGAGTTAGGTAAGAAATATATTTAATGTTTCCTAGGAGTTAATAATATATATGGATACTGGATTAAACCACAGCCCAAAGTATTCACTTTTATACAGCATCTTCACAATAATTCAGCTTCCCTTTGGTAAAGTAAAAAATTAGGGAATTTGATTAGTTGTTTGATTATATGTGATTGGGAGACTCTGTAGAACTTAGGAATGATATATTTACTTTCTGTTGATTCGAGCTAGCTTGACAAAGAACTGGATTTTCAGTGTATTTTCCATATGTGGGAGAAAAGAACATATGTGGACTTATGAAAAAAAGAAATGTTATTAATAGTTTTTCTTGAGGATGTGATGGTGATTTTGTTTTTCTTCTGCGTATTTTTGTGCCTCTTCCAAAATTGTTTAATTGTATTTATCTGTAATATATAAAACCATTAAGACCAATCACTTAATAAGGACAAAATCAGTATACTTAATAATACAGTTTTTCTCCTCTGCCTCATAATACATCTATGCTATTTAATTGTGTAGGGGCCAATTTCTCAGAAATTTTCTTCTCTCAAGGATGAAAACCTTAAACTGGAATGCAGGCATATGAATTTAGTGCCTGGAGTTTAGTATGGATGATAGTTTTTACCACCTTGCTCATTAATGTCCTCTTGATAAAAAGAATCTGTGTTTCATTATGCTCCTGAAGATTATCCAGTAACGAATGGAACAGTACATTTATAGAGAACTACCAGAAATACAAACTGGGTTTAGAAAAGGTCATGGCACTAGAGACATCATTGCCAATGTCAGGTGGATCTTGGCAGAAAGCGGAGAGTACCAGAAGAATGTCGCTCTGTGTTTCATTGACTACTCAAAGGCATTTGATTGTGTGGATCACAACAGATTGTGGCTAACCTTGAAGAAAATTAGAATCCCAGAACACTTGATTGTGCTTATGCAAAACCTATATTAGGACCAAGAAGCAGTCCTCAGAAGGAAACACTGCATGGTTCAAAATCAGGAAAGGAGTGCTTCAGGGAGGCATCTTGTCCCCTTACCTTTTCAGTCTCTCTGCATAACAGATCACTCGGGAAGCAGGGTTTTATGAGAAGGAGTTATGGTATCAAAATTGGAGAAAGACTCATCAACAGCCTACGATATGCAGATGAAACAACCTTGCTTGCTGAAACTGAAGAAAACCTGAAGCACTTGGTGCAGAAGGTCAAGAACTGTAGTCTTCAATATGGATTGAAGCTCAACATAAAAAAGACAAAAGATTTTCACCACTGGAACAATTGGCAGCACTGTGATAGATGGAGAAGGGATTGAGATTATTAGCAATTACACAATCAACACTCTTTTAACACCACCAGTCAGGAAATCAGAAGACAAATTTTATTGGGAAAATCTGCTGTCGGGGACTTCTTCAGAGTGCTGAAAAGCAGTGATGTCAGTCTAGAGGCAAAGGTGCACCTAATCCAGCCCAACATCTTCTCAATTACTTGTTATGCTTCAGAGAGCTAGACAATGACTAAGGATGACAGAAGAAGAATAGATTCCTTTGAGTTGTGGAGCTAGAGAAGAATCTTGAACCTACCATGGACTGCCAAGAAAATAAATTGATTGTCTTGGAGAGGGGAAAACCAAATGTCTCCTTGGAGGCTAGTATTTTGAAACTCCTCACATACTTTGGGCACATGGCCAGGAGAGACTAGAGAAGACCATCATGCTCAGAAGGGTAGTGCAGGAGTGGAATACCCCAGATGAGGAGGATTGATAACAGTATCTGGGCAATGGAGGCTGGTTGTTGGAATTAGTGGGGTTGGCTTAGGACAGGGAAGGGTTCAGAGCTGCTGTACATAGGGTTACTATACATGACAGGCAACTCAGTGGCACGTAACAACAAAAATATACAAACAAAATTATTTGTTTTTTATTTAAGCCTCTTATTTAGAGTCAACTAAAACCTTGGGGAGGGCCTTTGTATTTAAAAGTTGGTTGTTGTTATATTTTAGAGGAATATTCTTCCAAGTGGTATAGCACTCTTCTGTCAGTATGCTGTACTGAGGTAACCTAGGGTTGCTGTGATGCTGAACCTTGTGACATTGGTGTGTCAAATGCCCTAACGGTTACCCATGGTGGAAAGTGTTTGGTGGAGCTCCCAGTTTAAGAGAGATTTGGAAGCAGGAGTGACATCCACTTCCTAAACAACATACCTCTGGAAATGTTATGAACTCTGATAAATGACAGTGGTTATAGAAAGGCTTCAGGCCTTTTGTTCATAGAGTCACTATGAGTTGTGCTTGACTCAGTGACAGTCAACAACAACAGCTTGACATATGAAGGAGAAAACATGGTTTAAAATTTACTACAATATTTTCAATCTTCTTCCCTCTATTTTAAGAGACAGAAAGGAGAATGGCCAAGATAACTTAAACTTGGAAATCTTTTGGGACCAGGAGCCTCCAGATGCCTCTACTCTCATCTCAAGAGAGGCCCCTCCTCAGAGTTTTTTTCAGTGGCTTCTTTGATGAGGATGAACGAAGATGTTTTGGAGAAGGAGATGATCTCCCTAAGGTACAGGGACACCTCCAAGGTGAGGAAAAAAAGGAGCAACTCTCTACTCAAGAAAATATTTCTACTAAACAGTTCAATCAACATTTACCTGATTCTCACCCAAGAGACCTGTCTGAGCTGTTGCTCAAGGAGAATCAAGAGGCCCCCCGGAAAGACCAGCCCAGTCCTCTGATGACTCAAAAACTCCTCACCTGCACAGAGTGTGGGAAAACCTTCTATAGAAAGTCTGACCTTATATTTCATCAGAGAACTCATAGTGGAAAGACATATTTTCAGTGCCCCACCTGTAAGAAAGCCTTTCTGCGAAGTTCAGACTTTGTGAAACATCAGAGAATCCACATAGGAGAGAAGCCTTACATGTGTGATCACTGTGGGAAAGGCTTCAGTGACTTTTCTGGGTTGTGCCACCATGAGAAAATGCACGTGGCAGAAAAACCATATAAATGGTCCTCTCTGTGAAAAGAGGTTCAGCAAGAGGTCCTCCTTAAATAGACACCAGCAGCTCCACACAGGAGAGAAACCCTATAAATGTCCTGTGTTGAAAAGAGTTTCGTCAACAGGTTCTCCTTAAATATGCACGAGCGGGTCCACACAGGAGAAAAGCCCTATAAATGTCCTCTCTGTGAAAAGAGTTTCCGCAGCAGGTCCGCCTTCAGTAGACACCAGCGAGTTCACACAGGAGAGAAGCCCTATATGTGTCCTCTCTGTGAAAAGCGTTTCACTCAGACAACCCACTTTAATAGACACCAGTGGGTTCACACAGGAGAAAAACCCTATAAATGTTCTGTTTGTGAAAAGAGCTTTATTCAGAGGTATGATTTTAATAAACACCAGCAGGTACACACAGGAGAGAAACCCTACAAATGTACTCTCTGAGAAAAGTTTCATTGACTGCTCAATCTTTTTTTAGACATCATTGGGTCCACACAGGAGAGAAATGCTGTATGTGTCCCATCTGTAAAAAGAATTTCCTAAGTCCAACTTTATTAGACATTAGAGGGGTCCATATAATAGATAAATCTTACAAATCTTCTTGCTTTGGGAAATATTACAGCAGGAGCTAAAGTTTTAACAGACATCAGATCCCATTTGAGGAAGAAGTCTTCTTCTTAGCCAGATGCTCTTAGCCCTTGTCTGTGTCTGTGTGGTGGCAAATACTGAGCTTTTGGAATCATCTGTAGGATTTCATCTGTTGTATCTCTATTTTCATGGATTGAGAAGGGAGAATCTACAGTTGTTTTTGAACTTGGAATTTAGATTAGGATCTTGGAGTGAGCTTCATGCTTCATGTCTTCTGACAGAGCAGCTGTAATTACTGTTCACAGGAATAACATCAGCTCAGCCCTTTATAAGTAGGATTTCAGAGACTGTCTAATAATGAGCAGAAGCAGATACAGAGGACTAGTGCACTCATTTGTGCTCTTTGTCATGTGGGTAGAATGTGAACTTGATGTGCCCTTTCTTCAGATAAACACAGTAGATTGATTCTACATCTCACTTGTGTCTGAAATGTTAATTCCTTTTGAAATTGTGTTTTGTCACAGATGACCCCAAATAAGAGTTCAATTCACTGGGGAGCTTGTAGTGAGACTCCTCCCTAAATGTGGTCACTTGTTGTTGTTGTTGTTAGGTGACATCAAGTTAAGTATGACTTGTAATGACCCTGTTCTCTCCTGTGCCATCCTCACACTTCCTGACACACAAAAGCCCATTGCAACAGTAACTGTGTCAGTCCACCTCGCTGATGGCCTTCCTTTCCTTCCCCAGCCTTCCATCCTTACCAGCATCATGTCCCTTTCCAATGACTAGCCCCTCCTAGCAACATGCCCAAAGTATGTCAGGTGAAGCCTCATCATTTCTTGCCTCCAAAGAGCATTCCTGCTGCACGCTGTCCTAGACATACCTGTTTGTTCTCTTGACCATCCATGGGATGTTCAGTGCACTTCTCCAACACCACACTTCAAATGTGTCAATTGCTCCTCTCCAGCACCATGGCTCAAAGATGTCAATTCTTTCTCTGTCATCCTTATTCATTGTCCAGCTCTCAGATGCATAGCAAGCGATTGGAAAGACTTTCGCCTGAATCAGACACACCTTAGTCCTCAAATTGACATTATTACTCAATAATTTGGAGAGGTTCCTACCTGCATATTTTCCTAGTCTCCTTGTTTCTTGACTGCTGGTCCCATGGGTGTTAATTGTGAATTCAAGCAAGATGAAGAAGCTGTTGACAATTTCAGTCTCCACTCCATCCATCATGATGTTTCTTACTGGTCCAGTGGTAAGAATGTTTGTTTTCTTGACATTGTGATGCAGTTCAAATCAAAGACTTCATTCCTTGGTGCAAGTAGTTTTTCAAGTCCTTACTTGTAGTAAGCAAGGTTGTGTCATCTGCATAACACAGGTTATTGATGAATCTTCCTCCAGTCCTGATGCCACATTCCTCTTCATAGAGCCCAGCTTCTCAGATAATTTGCCCAGTATACAGATTGAATAGGTATGGAGAGAGGGAGTACAACCCTGACACTACCTTCTCAATTGTAAACTATATAGAGTTCCCCTGCTTTGTTCGCACAATAACCTCCTGGTCCAGGTGCAGGTCCCACATGATAGAAATGAGGCTGGATATAGAGTTACTGAGTTTTATATTTACAATGGTTTATTAATTCCAAATACCTCTGCTTCTTTTAATAAAATCCTTTGTTAAGGATTTTTACATCTATATTCATTAGAGATAATGGTCTGTAGTTTTCTTTCTTGGTAGTTTTGGTATTAGGGTTATACTTGATTCATAGAATGATTCTGGAGTGTTCCTTCTTTTTCAGTTTTTTAATATAGTTTAATTAGAACTGGTGATAGATCGTCTCTGAACATTTGGTAGAGTTCAGCTATGAAGCCATCTGGTCCAGAACTTTTCTTATGGGGAAGTCTTTTTTTTATTTCTATGAACACCTACAGAGATTTTGGAATTCCATTCATTCATTCATTGTTGCACTTTTCTCCCCACCCACCCCACCCCCACCCCCAGTTCGCTCCTCTCCTTGAAAACAAAAGAAAAACTCCTTCATTGGGGAAGTCTTTTTATGACCTTTTCAGTTTTTTCTTTTGTGATGAGTCTGTTCAAATCTATATCTATCCTTGTCAGTCTGTGTAGGGTACGAGTTTCACGGAATTTCTCCATTTCTTTTAGGGTTTTTAATTTATTAGAGAATGGGTTTTCAGAGTTTTCTGATATTATCAATTTCATTTCCTCTATTTCTGTTTTATGTCACCGCTGTCATTTCTTGACCGTGTTATCTGTGTCTTCTCTTTTCCCCTTCTGTTAAGTTTGCCAGTGGTTTGTCAATTTTATTGACTCTTAAAAAAACAGCTTCTGGTCTTATTGATGGTTTGATTTGTTTTTCTGTTTTCTATCTCATTGATATCAGTTCTTGTTTTTTAATTTCTTTTCTTCTAGAGGCTGTGGGATTAGATTGTTGTTCTTTTTCTATTTGATGAAGGTGTTGGAGTTAGATCATTGATTTTTCTTTTTTCTTCCTTTTTTAATGTATCTGCCTATTGCTATGTACTGCCCCCTGAGGACTGCCTTAGCTACATCCCAGGGGTTTTGGTATGTTGTATTTTCATTTGTTTCAAGGAACTTTTTTTTTTTTAATAACTCAGTCATGTCCTAGCAGAGAGTTGCTTAGCTTCCACATAGATGAGTTTGTAAACTTTACCCTCCTGTGGTTAATTTCTAGTTTTATAGCATTGTAATCTGAGAAGATACTCTTATTTCAGTGTAAATTAATTGAGTCTTCCTTTGTGTCTTAATATGTGATTGATTCTGGAAAATATACATGTGTACTTGAGAAGAAAGTGAATTGAGTTTTATTTAGCTGCAGTACCCTGACTACATCCACAAGGTCTAGTTTGCTGATTGTGTAGTTTAGATCCTCTGCATCTTTGTTGAGTTTCTTTTGGGTTGACCTATCCTTTGGTGATAGTGGTGTGTTGAAATCTCCTACCACTATTGTGGTGCTATTTTTTTAACTGTTATTTTATGTGTTTTGCACGTCTTTCATTTGGTGCATAAATCTTGACCAAGGTTATATATTCTTGATCTATTGTGCCTTTAATCAGTATGTAATACCCTCTATTATCTTTAATGGTGGTTTTCATTCTGAAATTTATTTTCTCAGATATTAGTGTTGCCACTTCTGCTTTTTTGAGTTGCCATTTGCTTGGTATATTTTTTTTTCCAGCCTTTTATTTTTGAGTCTGTCTTTCTCTTCTTTTTTTAAGATGTGTCTCTTGTAGGCAGCTATTGTTGAGTTGGACAAAGGAAGAGACAGGGACACTGAGAATGAGGAGGAGAAGAGAGTGAAGGCAGGGGGCGAACAGCTCAAAGGCTGCAGCCCTAAGCCCAGAGTCTCTCTAACCCTTTATTGAGAATTGCCAGGAAGTAAATCACAGAGAAAATTCTTTACTAATAAGGTTATGTTTTTCTCTGCTGACAACTTTTTGCTTATCTCAGGAATGATGGTTTTACAAACACAGTCTGAGAGTGGCGGAGGCGCCTTCAGGTCTGCCTTGGTGCCTAACTCTTGTGACCTCTGTCAAGAGAAATACTGTCTAATTCTTGTGATCTGACATGAGGAATTCCAGCTTTTATTTGTGCCTCCTTCAATTCCTGCTTAAGCATTTGGTTTAACACTTGTTTTCCTACAGGCAACATATTATATTGTTTTGTTTTGCTTTTTTATCCATTTTGCTACTCTTTTTCTCTTAATTGATACATTTAGTCCATTTGCATTGTGTTGTTATTATTAATAGGCCTGGTTTTATTTTGCTATTTTGCTATGTTTCTTTATTGTTGTTTCTGGTTACTATATTCCATGCATTTTCCTTTGGTGTCTCCGTATGAAGGACTTCACTTAAAATTTCTTGTAGTTTTGGTCTTGTTTTCATAAATTCTTTAAGTTCTTTTCTGGAAAGGTTCTAATTTCTCCTTCATATTTGATGCAGAGCTTTGCTGGGTTTAGGATCCTTGGCTGGCAATTGTTTTCTTTCAACTTTCTGTATGTGCCATCCCATTGCCTTCTAGCTTCATGCTTTTTGCTGAGAAATCAGAACTTAATCTAATTGTTTCCCATTTGTAGGCGACTCTTGTTTTTCTCACGTGCTGCTTTCAATATTCTATCTTTTATTTTGGAAAATTTGACTATGATATGTCTTGATGTTTTCCTTTTTGGGTAGACCTATTTGGTGTTCACTGAGCTTCATGAATGTGGATTTCCTTATTCTCTATAATAGCTGGAAAGTTTTCTTCAATATCTCTTCCACAATTTTCTCAGCGATTCCCCTATACCTCTCATATTCTGGAATTCCAACCATACATATGTTATTCCTTTAGCTAATTCTAATGTTTTCATTTTCTTTACATCTCATCTCTGATTTTTCTTCTAATATGTTTTCTTTGAAGCTCTGGTCTTCCAACTCACTGACTCTCCATCTCTTCAGTTATTTTTTTTAAAGGGACAACATTTATTCCTTTTCCAAATGTTACAGTAAAACCAGATGAAAGAGAATGGTTTTAGCAGTTAGGAAAAAAAAATACAAATCTGGGGTTTGGCCATTAAAAGTTATTTACAACAAGAAGAGGGGAAGACAAAAACTTGTTTCACATTACAGGCCTCCCTCCCCCACCCCCAAAGCCTAATACTTGCTTACCAAGTCAAAAAAAGAGACACAGTTGATTCACAAACTGGAGGTTTGAACTTGAGTAAGACATTTATAAAAACCTGGACAGAGACAGTGTTTTTCTCAACCCAGGGGCCACTAGGCACAGCACAAGAGATTAAAAACTCAACAGGGGAAGGCTGGATACTCAGGGTGTAGAAGTAGGTACCCCACTTCTGGCTCAGGGATTTGGGGAGCAGGGTAAACAAAACCTACTTGGAAAAGAATTGGGGACGAAAACCAGCAATTGCTTTCAGCGGGGGTGAGGAAAGTGAAAGAAGTCGGGGCAGGAGCATTTCACATCACTAACCTAACTTGGGAAACTGTAAGGGACCATCTTCAACTGGCCTCAAGAGGATGACCAGAGGAATGATGGGAAAATCCACAGGAGGGAGAGGGGACATGGCTGGAAAGGGGCAATAGCCCCTTCCTTTCTGGGCACAGGAAAGCAGCCAGGGCACCAGGTCCAGGCAGTGACCTCACAAGGACGGCACAGTTTTTGCAGCTTCATTCGAGATCACCCACCTGCCCCTACCCAGCTACTCATTCTGCTCCATGGCTGGTGTAGGGCCACTCTGGCCCCGAGGGAGTGGACGGCTGTGCAGCCTGGGGCGCTCTTCTTCCGTGTCTCCTCCCTTGGAGGCAGCACCAGCCTCTGCCCCCTTGACTTGGAGCTCCTGGCTCTCCGGGGTGGCGACAGCCTTCCCTTCCTGGGCAGTGCCCTCCTCACTGCAGGCACTGATCTCCCCCTGCTCCTGCTCTTCCTCTGTGGGTGAGGAGGCAGAGGAATCGCCCCCACCCTCCTTCCGATTTCTCTTGAAGGACAG